TGTTCTCTAGAGTTTCAATGTTCTTAAATTATATCATTCTGCATACCTTCCTAGATATGGTCTATCTAGGAGGGCTCGGTAGACTGAGGATGGCTATTTTTTTCTAGTCTTGAGCACTATTCTTTTCAATGCAGCTTAAATATTAGATCCTTGTTTGTCATGTAAAACTATTTACATATATTGAGGTTATAGACCATTAAAATCTTCAGGGTTTGTTTGTTTCTTTGCATGTCTGTTGTTGTTGTCAGAGAAATTGTTCTCTAGCAACACATTTATAATTTTGCCTTAAGGAGGGGCTTCCCCTCCTACTCCATTGAAGAGTAGCCTCACACTGTTATTGGGCATAATGTACACGTCTTCGATCATCTTTAGCCCTACTGAAGCTCAGAACTCCTGAGCATAAAGAGTGTCAGTCTCCATAGGTAGCAGGTATTACAGGCAGGCATCATGAAGCCTGGCTCAAATCACTCTCATGTTATTTATATCATTTGTCCCTCATAGTCACTTGTACTAGAAAGGAATGTACCACCAACTTCAATTTGGGGAATAAGAACTGATGGATTAAATGATTTAATCAGAGTTGACAAATTAAGGCAGTAACAGAAGAAAGACATGAAGCCAGGTATCTGAAAAAGAACAAGGCTTCTTTGTCTGTGATTAAAATGTGACAGGATTTAGTACTGTAAGGACCTATAGAGGCTATTTCACTTCTGTTAGTTTTGTAGATTAGGAAATCCATTCCTAGAGAAGTCACATAATTTATCCATCTCTGCAGAGGCTTTGAGCATAAACCAGGGCTTTTTCCTATGGTGGTGCACTGCATTGTGACATTGTCTTTACTTCCCATAAATCAATGTATCAGTGCATTTCTGATAGTTCAGTTTGGCTTAAAAGCATTTGCTATAGTTAAATCTCATAATAATTTCATCTTTCTCTTTTTACACTTTTATATAATGAATAAGTATGTGTGTGTGTGTGTGTGTGTGTGTGCATGCGTGTGCGCCAGGAAAAAAAATTAAAATTAAGGAATTAACCATTATGTAATTAACGAAGATGCCCCATGCTTTTTTTTAAAGGTCATCCTCATGACTTAGACATTTTCCCAAATCCAGAGTGCTTACCAAATTATCCCCTTTCTATCTGCTTTCTTTGTAAACTGTAGCCTGCATTAAATGGTTGAGTTTTCAGTGCGAAAACTGAGTTCTCTTAGGCTGTTATGGCTTCTCTTGGGCTACTAAGACCTGAGAACCAAACACGTCACATTTTCTAGTTCTTGAGAAATTAACTGGCTCTCCACAAGGGCACTACTTCCCATGTCCCAAATGCAACCCATGGTTTTTGAGGAGAATTAGGACCTCTTATATTTGACTCTGAGTCTTTTAAAAGTCACTCAAAGTGCTCTCAAACTTCGATGCTTCTAATTGCCAGGTTCCAAAAGAAATAGACGCTTGAGGAATTGTGGCATGCACTCATCAGGAACTAATGATGTTTAAGATGTGGTTTGTTTTTCATCATTTTCAAAAACATGAGAAAACCACATCTGGGCATTAAAAATGGCAGCTCTTTGAAGGTATGAAAAGAGGCTAGTCACTCTGCCATTCAAGTAATTAGATAATTGGTAATCAACTTCACCTGTCAAATTTAGGAGATACAAAGCCTGCATCACCAGTGGGAAAGTGGGGTTGGATCATAATTGAATTCAATGGAAATTGACAAGAAATTTTAAAGCACCACTATGCTGCAGGTAGTATGATCAGTGCATGGCAGATAAATACAAAATGAAACAATTGCTGTCATTAAAGACCTTAAATTTTATTCGAGGCAAGACCATCGTACACATATATGTCATTACAAAACATGTAAGTAGGTTTTTTTTTATTTGTGTTGGGGGGAGAAGTGGGCAGATAGGATACAGGTCGATTTTGAAGAGCAGTTTGAAAACAAAAGAACATAGATCCCAGGTGGGTAAAATAGAAAAATACTGAAGAGTGTGGCGAGGATAAAGGAATGGAGCTAATACGTGTAGTAGGAGATAGGTAAATGAGTGTACAGTCCTTAAGAGCATGTGGGGAATGTTCTGTCGGTTTCAGAATATACACAGATATTCTACAACTATTTACTATCCAGTTGTCATGTGTGAGGGAAATGGTTTTTTTAATTGATTATTGAGCCAGAACATGGTATACATTCAAAAGATACACCAAGATGATACTAATTTTTTTTTTTACCTTAATGGCAGCATGAGAGAGAACAATGAATTGTAATGAGTGTCTGCATTTGGGAGAGCCTTCAGATTCCTCCTCACCTGGTTGCTAGGAATCTTTTAGAATATGAAGTAGCTGTAAATTCCAGATCTGTCTTGTCTGTTCTTTTCTGCTTTTAAGTGAAGGATAATTGGAGAAAAAACAAACAAACAAAAAATGAGACTTTGTGACCTTTGAAAGAAGGTTTAGGAATTCAAATCCAAACCAGAGATGGCCATAAATTGAGTCTTGCTAGGTGTAAGAGAAACTCTGAATGATCTGCTTGACTCAGAATAGGAGCTGACCAAAGGCATCCAGGAAACATCCTGCTGAAAAAAGGGATTGATCCATCCAACCATCATGATACTCTACAGCAACAATGTTAAGTTTGAGATCATTTTCCTCAAGGGCAAAGATGGTAGAGTGGAAAATGTACCTCTGTAGTCCAGTAAAACACTTCGCAACCTGCATCCTTTCAATATTTGTTCAATGAATATTCCTTTAAAGAAAACTAATTAGTATTAATTGATTAGATTATCAACAATACAGGTGAGATAAAAATTATTGACTGATATTATGGGGAACACTTTAGATTAGGAAGTTGAGTTTATAGTATTAGAAAGAGATTCTGTTATGCCTCAGAAGTACTCCAGCATACTGTTGGAATTAAGCAGCTAGATTTATTCTAGGGGTTTTGACTGGTCAGTATGAGTGAGACTTGGGATAAGGATTCCTAGAGCTTATATGAGCTACACAGAGATAGAATGAAGGAATAAAAGGAGTAATTAGGAAAGGAAGTTTGAGCATGAACGTTCTTACAGCTCAGAAGTCCTGAAATCTTTAGTAGAGCCGCAGAGAAGTAGATTATCGCACCATTCACAATAGCAAAAGAAATATTGTTATGTAATATTTACTACAAACCCCAAGAAAGAGTTGGGCGGGGAGAAATAGTGGTAGAAAAGAAACCCAGTCCCTGATTTTCCCTAATTATCAATAAAAAGCACGAGACAAATCTTGGATCCAGACTAGTTATAATACAATTTAAGCTATACCTGTACAATTAAATAATTTGGAGGAAGACAATTAAATTAAGTTTGCATAAATGATAAGACCACAATAGGAGGTTGGCTTGTCACTTATTAGGATCCCTCCACTTACTCCTTCAGAATTCACATAGTGTTTTCTTCTGTACTGCTCAATATATTCATCATGTTTGTATCATATCCTCCTTTCAGATTGGGTCTGTACACGTGCATACATACATACATGTTCTCATTTAGGTATTTTATTCTAAACTTAATACAAAAAAGTGAATTTTCATATATGATTCAGAACATAAGATCTCAATTTCAGATGCAACATCAGAACTCTATGTAGAACTTGCACCCTTCTTAAATAGAGCATTTTCATCATTTAATTTTCATAGCAGTTCTCTTTGCCTATAATTCCTGTGGACTTCCTTCCTTTCTCTTATTTTCTGGGAGGGATATCTTCAAGCTCCCAAAACCAACTTTGAGGGGGGAAAAAAAATACCAACAAGCAAGTGTTTCCACTAAATATGCATAGTTTAGCAAAAGAAACTACCATGTTGGCCATATCCAAAAAGGTATGTCTCATTCAGTTCATCACCTGTCAAGAGATCAGTTGCATATTTCATCATAAACCCTGTGGAATTCTGTTTACTCATATCCTGGGTAAGCATACCTTTCAACATTGCATTCTTTTTCTTGATACTCTCATAATTGTGTATATTTTTCTAGCTCTGCTCAATTTGTCTTGCATTGGTTCACATCTTGCAGATTTTTTCTGAAAGTTTCCTTTTCATCATTTCTTGTGGTAAAATAATATCTGAATATGTTAATATAGCTTAATGTGTTAAGTCGTTTTATAATTGGTGGGAAACCTCTCTCTTTCTTGGTTTCCAGGTCTTTGCTACTACAAAAAGAGCTGCTATAGATATTTCTGTACATATGAGCCTTTTTCCTCTGTCATTGATCTCTTTGGAATATATATACACATATATGTATATGTATATATATAAAATATACACACACACATATATGTGTGTGTATCTGTGCGTATACATATCCACATATATGCATGCATATGTATGTATATACTACATGTATGTGTGTTTGTGTGAATACATACATATGCATGTATATATACCAAAGATATCAATGACAGGAAAAAGACTCACATGTACAGAATACATATATACGTACGTACATATATGCATAGATTCCTATTTATGTTATATAACTAAATAGGTAGAAACAAATGAAAATCCAGTAATACGGGGACTAAAGTGAAAGGGGCGAACTGTTAGATATATTGATCTATCATGAATAAATGATGTTTATATCAATATTAGTGATGAGGAGGAAGAGGATAAGAAGAATTATGAATAGGATGATAACAGATATTGAAGTTTTCAAAGGCCTTGATGAGCACATAACTTATTTAAACCCTGTTGACTGAAAGTTAAACCGTTATTATCCCCATTTGAAAGATGAGGAAATTCTAGATCAGAGATATTAAGTAACTTGCTCAGTCACAGAGCAAGTAAGAATATAAAGATGAATTGAAACCCAGACCTTATGGCCACAAGTCTGCCATTTAATCTAACATTCCACATTGATTTTTTTTCTTATTCCAATGCCAGCACCACACGAAAATTACGCTACTATGGGACTTCACAGGGAAAAGCTCAGTAATTGATAAGCTAAAATACTTCATTGATATTGATATAAATTCTTAATCTCCTCTCCTTCCCCCCAATTTGGTACATGGGAACACCATTTCAGAATCTATCACTTTCCTGAGGGCATCTTTCACATCCCTGTTCCTCAAACTATAGATGAGTGGATTTAACATTGGTATCACCACTGTATAAAACACAGTAGCGAATTTGTCTGAATCTAGAATATTTCCAGATCCTGGTCGGCAATAAATGAAAAGGATAGTGCCATGGAAAATCACAATGGCAGTGAGGTGGGAGGCACAGGTGGAGAAAGCTTTGCGCCGGCCCTCAGAAGAGCGGATTCTCAGAATGGTGATGAGGATAAATATGTAAGAGGTGAAGATGATGATGATAGTGCCGATCTCATTGAAACTTGCCACTGTGAAAAGCAGTAGTTCATTGATGGAGACATCAGAGCAGGACAGAGACAAGAGTGGGGGAAGATCACAGAAAAAGTGATTAATGATGTTGGATCTATAAGAAGATATCTTAAGGGTGAAACAGGTGTGAATTAGAGAACACACTGTACCACAAATATACGAGCCACAGACCAACTGGATGCAAAGCTTATGAGACATAGCAGTCATGTACAACAATGGGTTACAAATGGCTACAAAGCGATCATAGGCCATCACTGCCAGCAGTATGATTTCAGAGACCACACATGTGCAGAACAAATAGAATTGTATAGTGCAACCTAGGAAAGAGATGACCTGGTCTTCTGTTAATATATTGACCAGTGTTTTGGGTACAATGATGGTAGAATAGCAGAGATCAACAAAGGACATGTGGCTGAGAAAAAAATACATAGGGGTATGAAGACGGAGGCTGATCTTGATCAGGATAATCATTCCAACATTCCCCAAAACCGTGATGGCATAGATCACTAGGAATATCAAGAAGAGCACAATACGGAGTTCTGGATGATCTGAAAATCCTAAGAGCAGAAATTCAGTAACTGCTGTGCAATTTTCCTCCCCTTCCATTATTTCAGTATGTTGAAGGTTGAATAAAGCATAAATGAAAAATCTTCTTTTTATGGTCCAAGAATAAGTTTTAACCATCTCCTAGGATAACAGTATTAGAATCAAAGTTAATAGATATTTAATAGGAGAGAAATATTATATGACCACACATGTGTTTATTATCTTGATGTCTGTCCTTTAAATATCATAGAAATATAATTAAATTTGCACACACCGGGAAGAAACACCATCCAGGTGAAAGAAAACTGATGGTGAAAGATATTGTATAGATCAACATGTCATACAGATGAAGACAATACTAGAACACAGAGAATATAATGATCATATATTCTACCTATATCATATACACTTATGTGTGCATCTCATGCATTGCAAAGTTATAATCAAAAGAAATGTGTACATTCTGAGGCTGCATGTACTACACATAGTATGTACCTTGGTCCAAGATCAGATCATATGTAAAACCTATACTATATGCCTGTACATATTTTGTTAATTCCAAATAAACAAATAATTCAAATCTCTCTCTCTCTCTCTCTCTCTCTCTCTCTCTCTCTCTCTCTCTCTCTCTCTCTCTCTCTCTCTCTCTCTCTTTCTCTCTGACACACACATACACACAGAAAAAAAAAATCACTATTTATTAAAAAAACACTGTTTAACTTACTTATGAGAAATTTCTTATAGATTCAACAAAGCCAATAATAAACATTTAAATTTTTTCATCAACAGTTTTTACCCTTGAAACTACTCTGAGCTCTGATAGATGGAATTTTGCCCAGCTTAGCATTCACAGTGAATTCAATTTCTGTTGTTCAGTAAAAGTCATGATGACAAGTTTTATCTGGCCATTTATATGATGCCTCTCTTTCACCCTATATACAAATTCCATATGAACACAAGATTGAGAATCATAGGATCATAGGTGCAAAGATTTAGTTATAAAACTCCTTATAGTCCATCTAGAGTCTAGACTAATCCCTTCAGGGAAGCCCTGGGTTCTAATCCTACAGCAGCATTTATCATTACATTGATCATATGCAATTAAGCTCTTTGAGTCCCAAGTTCATTTTGTACAAAAAAGGAGATATTAATGCTTACCATATCTACTTCATAGGTTTATTCTGATACTCAACGATAAGAGATAAGAAATAAGCTCTTTAATCCTTGAAGCTCTATATAAATTATAGCTATAATTATTTGTCAGTATACCCACTTACCACACTGTTATTGTGGTATCATTCCGTTTAGAGGTTAAGCTTCTTTAAGATTACATCTCCATGTATTTCTTTTATATGTTGAAACTGCTAATTCAAGGAGAGGTAATGACTGACAAAGACTTTTCTTTTAGGAGCCATTTACCCATAAAATCTGCTTTCATAAAATGCAAGCACATTCCAATAAGACAGAATGTCATTCTCTGTGACCTCTTTTTATGAGTTTCCATTTCAGTCCCTCATCTAGTAAGGGAAAGTTGATTTAGTAATTTAGCTCTAAAGGAGATGAATGATCAGCATATGCTAGTAATGCATAAAACCACTTTGGAAAGTGGAAGGAGTCCCTCATACTAGCAAAGTTAGTCTTCCCTTGACCTGAATATGAATACAGTTTGAGAGGAAAACAAGAATAGAAGCAGAGATCATCAAACTATGTCTCGCAGTTACTCTGATTCAAAGAGGATCATGGATTGGGATATTTAAAATGGAAAGGGATTTTAGAAGTTAATTATTATACTAGAAGAATGAAGCCAAGATAATTGAAGTAAATTTTGCCAGTTCATATAAGTTCAGTTCATGTAAGTAGCAGTGCTGGGAAGAGTTACCTGCTTACATATTACCTGTTGTAAATAGTATTATTTTATATTTTTATTAATAACAGCATTGCCATTACCTAATGTTCACTTTCCATTCATTATAGTTTAAAAGACATCTTCACAGATGGATTCTGTAAAAACAGGGGAAGAAAGTCTCAGTAAGTAGAACTCTAGAACGAGAGCATAATCAAAACAATCCTCCTTCTGGAACGGATCTTTAAATTATTTCTAACTAAAAAAAAATGAACGCACTCTAGTTTTTACCTAGCAAAACATGCTGAAACTGCATAAACAATAGGAAGGGCGGAGAGAGATGACAGGTCCTTTCCCTCAGAAAACCTGTCTCTGTGTTCAATCCAAGGGATTTTATAATTTATTTTTTCTCTTGGGAACTAAGTCCCCCAAGTATGCATCTGAAATTATGGATCTCTGTGACTTGCAAACTCTTAATCATAACAAATGCAAGCTCTCTCTAGGCACCTGGATCAAAGTTTTTATACCATCATTCCTGAAGGGATAAAACTGTACAAATCCCATGATATACACATGATATCTGTGACCATTTGACTTTTTTCACTTTTTAGACATGATGACAAAGACTTGCTATTTAAGTTCATGTTTTTGTCCACCTGGGTCAAACTTAATTGTTTCAGTTATAGAGAAATCACATTGAATGTTTCTTTTTTCTAGAAATCTCAAACTTCACTTTCCCTTAGTTCTTATACACAAATTCAAGGCTGGATGGATAATCATAGTTCATATAACTTCTAATTTCGCAAAACATGTTTCTCACCATCACCCTTTGACATACAGAGGCAATTATCTGTCCCCAATTTATAAATGGCATATCTAAGGGACAGAGTTATTTATATTTTAGGATTACAGTGTAGACAGAGGTATGTAAATTATAAGAGATAAATAATAATTTCAACTTAGTTTCATTTTCTGACAGAAATGGTCATAATTCACCTGATAACAAGACATCTCAGATATCCTGACCTTGAGCAGATGAAGCAAGATTAGCCTTGTCTCTCCATCTTTAATTTCTTATCCTCTAACTCAGTGTTCAATATTGTATTATACACATTTTTTCATCCCTATTATGATTTTAATCATATGGCTCTTAAAAATTGCTATTACTCCAAGGAAAAATTCAAGCAATTCAGCTGTTTAATAACACATTTTGATGACTATTAATGATATTTTAACAGCTGTAGATCTGGAAAAGTCAAGGGTATGAAGGATAATTTAAGACCACAATAAATTAAGATCAATCTCAATAATGTATGAGGAAACATGAGTTAACATACACACAGATATACGAATCTCTAGAACTAGGAAATTATTGTCTCAAAATAGAAAGTGCCAGAGAAAACAAACAAAAACTTTCCAAGGAAATAAGATAGTTATTTATTCCTCCACAGTACAGAATATGTGTCTGAAGTTTGGAGGTTCATAAAGACCAGTAAAAAAGACAAAATAAATAAATAAACAAAAATGAAAACACAACTTAATAGCAGTGACTACAAAGAAAGAAGAATAATGGATTATAGGCAACACCATACGAAGATTAGAGTAAAAGAAGTTCTAGATGTTTGGAGGGGCATCGAAAATTTTATGGATGAAACTTACTTTTTTTTTTTCTAAATTCAAGGCTACATTGAATAAAAAGGTGATGTCAGCCTTCAAAATCTGGCCATATTCATCAGACTCTAAAATATCTAAGCCATCCAGGAGATTTTTACTTCTTTTTTATTCAATCATTTTCAGTCATATATGACTCTTTACTATCCCATTTGGAGTTTGGTAAAGATAATGGAATGGCTGACCATTTCTTTCTCTAACTCATTTTACAGATGAGGAAACTGAACCAAACAAAGTTAAGTTACTTGCCGAGAGTAACAAAGCTACTAAATATCTGAGGCCAGATTTGAACTCAGGAAGATAATTTTTCCTGATTCCAGACCTGGCACTCTGTCCACGGTACCACACAGTTGCCCACATTTTTATTTTTAATGAGCCTGAGTCTTGCCTATTATGGATGGAATGAGAGAGAGATAGGGAGATTTTTTTCAAAATAAGTGAAATTCTCAAATGGATAGAGAACACTAAAATACAACTTTGCACAATTCTTTACAGGAAATGCTAAGAAATATATTGAAGATGTGTAGATAAATATGTTCCAATGAAATAAGAATCTCCCTTATCTAAACTGTGTAGATAAATTATGGGCATGATCAATGGAACACTTAAATTGAATTATTTGACAAAAGGACACAATATTCAAAATAATGAACATGATTTCATGTTGAAAAAACAAATATATCAGTCAGTAATTGAACAATTATTTATTAACTGCTCATGATATGCCAGACTTATTACTAAGAACTGGGAATAAAAATAGAAATAGAAAGAAAGACAATGTCTGTTGTCAATAAGTTTACATTGCGATGTGGAAGGCAATACGTTAAAGGAAGGGGAAAGGAGAGAGTAGGTGGGCAAAGGTACAATGGATCATGGGATGCATGGTAGAGAAGGTTGAGAGTATAGCCTGAAGAGAAATGAGACACATTTGAAGGTTTTGGGATGACCCATTAAATGAGAGAGACAGACAGACAGATACACACATATACAGAAAAGGAAAGAGAGAGAGACAGAGAGGGACAGAGAGACAGAAAGACAGAGAGACAGAGACAAAAACAGACAGAAAGAGGCAAAGACAGGCACACAGAGACAGAGACAGAGACAGAAAGAGACAGAGAAAAAAGAGACAATCACAGAGAAACAGACAGAACGGATAGAGATAAGGACAGAGACAGAGGCAAAGACAGAGGCAGGGAGACAGAAACCACAGCAACAGTAGGTACTTTCAGTTTGTGAATTCCAGTGCTGGATTAAACATTCCAGTTTAAGAAGTTTCTGTGGAAAATAGATTGTAGTCTTGAGATAAATGGGGAATAAATATCTTGTGAGCTCAACATCACGTGTCTTAAAAGTTAACGCAACAAAAATAGCATAAACATGATAGAAAACTAAAAAAAAAGATTAAAACAAACAGATCTTGAATGTTTTATTAAACATCAATTGATTTATTCAGCTTTGTCCTTGATAATTTATACCACTGCAGAGTGGAGGGAAGTATAAAATAGTATAATTTAGGATTTTTTGGCCTGGGGGTTGATAGCTTCCT